GGCTCTTTTACCAATTACACATAGCAAGAACCCATTGCAATCTACCAATTTTTCAGGTATCTGAGAGTCTAAACCGGGAATATCTAACGTTAACTCACGCACCTCTATCTTTGGATCAATGCTTACCGAATAAATCTTGGATTTGGTTGCTAAGATGAATCTAAACGTCGCCTTGTGGTTGTTGATAAACATCTTGTCCTCGAAAAGAGCTTTCCATTGTTTAGATACGGCTTTGAAGCGAACAAGAGGTTTAGGAGGGACACGTGAGAGTATCTCTTCAATCAACTCCCATGGAAGCTTCTCTGCATGCGCCATTAGGGTCTTTAACCTAATTAGGGTTTCAACCGAATGATTGTAATATATATACTCCAAAAATTTTAAATGCACGTGAGAGTATCTCAAATATATTAGTTTGTTCAAAACAATGCTATGTAAACAAATTATTGTTTACATCTTGTTAAGTAATCATCACGGTAGTTTTATATTATTAATATTTTTGGTTTTTTGTTTTGTGATAAATTTTTTTGAATGACATAAAATTGGTAGGGGTAGCCAATAAAGTAGTTACAACAACCTCAAAGAAACCTCGAAGTGACAAATCTAGTTGATTCATGGATTACCAAGCTCAAAATTTGTACCACCTCTTAAATTGTCAGGACATAACTAGAAAATTTAACCAACAAGTGAAAATAGCATAAAGCTCAGCTTTTTGTTAAACGATCCTCTACAAGTTTCAATCAACTTAATTTTTTTAACCAAAAAAAAAAAAACATAGCTAGAGGTTTTCTACTCATTGCCATAAAATAGGTATTCGAGATATATTGTTAGTCGACTCGCAGATAGTTCACCAGGATCTTCACCTAATGCAGATGCAACTATTTTCCTTTTCTTTTCCTGATAACAATTTTAAATGCAAACAAGAAAATATCATAATTGAGTGGAGTAATGTTACTACTGGAAAGAAAATGAGCTTGATAGGTTTCCAAGAATGAATGAATATATATACCTGAAGAGCTAAAATTCTGTCCTCAACGGTATCTTTGATAGTAATACGAGTTACAGTAACGGTTTGAGTTTGTCCGATACGATGAGCTCGATCAATAGCTTGCTCTTCTGTTGTTGGATTCCACCAAAGATCCAATTGAATCACATGGCATGCAGCTACCATATTCAATCCAAGATTTCCAGCTTTAAGAGACATGAGCATCACTTGCACCTGTTTTTAATTATTATTAAACTTAGTATAAAACTATTTCGATACGAAAAACATATTAACATTACATTCATAATCAGTCACTTACATTTGGCTCATTGTTGAATTCTTTAACAGCTATGTCTCTTGCTCCTAGGGACATTGTACCATCTAATCTTCTGGATACAATACAGTTTTCGACAAAGCAATGCTCAACTAAGTCAAGCATACCAGTCCACTGTGAGAACACTATTGTCTTTATTGGCAAAGACTTGTTTGTTGGACTGCCTTGCTTTGCAAGCGACTCAACAATCTCCATCACGGCTTTGACTTTGGTTGAAATAAACTTGCTCTTTTGCAAAACTAGAGGTTTCTCAACATCATATTCATCGTCATAATCGTCGTCTAAGAAATTTCGAAGTACAGATTCAGAGAAAACAGAATCAAACCCAATCTTTCCTCTGCATCCAGGTACAGGGCATGTCTGACCTCCATACATATATTCCCACACACATTGATAGCAAAACACGTGGCCACACAAAGTAATAAGACGTTCTTTCGGTGGATCCTGGAATAAAGAAAACAGATTGTATCCAAGATCATCAAAGAGTAGTAATAACAAGATAGTGAAAGAGAGTGCTGATATGCTCAATGAGTACCTTGCAAAGAGAGCAGATGGTAAAGGATGAATCTAAGAGTAAGAGACTGAAGAGGTTGATGAGAGACTCTCTTGGTATTGTTTTAAGTGGTTCTCGCCAATATGCTCCCGAAGGACCAAAGTTAACAAGTTTTGGATGGTCACAAGCTTGGCGTAGACGCAAAAGCATCACAAGCATACTAGCATAGTTTTCGTGCAAAGTCCCTTCAGCTGCATAGTTCTAAAACAGCGAAGAATGAAAATGAAAATATCAGGTCACATTATCATATTATATAACATAGCATCAAGTTGCTTATATAACTTAAAAGGGTTTGTAGAATCACCTCGAACTGTGTTTGTGCATCTGCTTCAAGCTCCCTGTAGAAAGAATATTCCTCTAAAGAAAAGTTCACCTTGCTCAAATTAACATTCTTTGGAGGTAGGTTAATTATAGGTTGTCCATCAAGTATTGTTCCTAAATAGCATAATAATATATTCAAATAAATCATCAGAAGATCATTAATCAGCACAACTATACATGTATAGTAGTAGGAGCAAATGAGTACCTTTGGTTCGGCGCAATATTATAGCTCTTAGAATGGCTTGAAGCTTCTTGTAACCTCTAAGAGAACTTTTGGAAATTGGAGCCGTGATTTTTTGGCGAAATTCATCTTGCATGGCATAAGGATAGTACCTAAGGAACTTGAAATAGCTGTAAAGATCGAAGATTTCATTTTGTATCGGCGTTCCAGACAAACACCATCTCCTTTTGGCTCTAAGACTACAACAAGCTCTTGCAACTTGTGTTTTATGGTTCTTGATTGTTTGAGCTTCATCTAATACTACCCTCAACCACCTAACTTTTGCTAATGCACCACCAGAAGATCTTCGAAAGCTTTCTTTGACTCTCTTCCCATCACATAAATCAAGCAAAGGGTTGTGTGGAACTTCGTTTGTAACAAGCGCGTAAGTAGTAACGACAACATCGTATTTCGCTAGTTGAATAGGATCTTTGGTTCTGTTTTTCCCATGGTAGACTAAAACAGAGAGCTTGTGTTCATCAGAAACCTTGTCATAGATTTCTTTTGCCCATTGTTTAACAACACTCGCTGGACAAACAACTAATGTACCACCCGATTTCCGGCTTCTTCTTCTTGGCTCTTTATGCTTTGATTGTAACTTCAACTTTTGCAATAGGATAAGTGCAATCGTCGAGATTGTTTTACCAAGTCCCTACAAATATAAATATTAAGCCTAATTAAAATTGATCTCCACCTAATTAATAGTATTTGGGAAAGAAGATTTTTTAATTAAATGTATAACCTGATCATCTGCTAATATCCCTCCCCAACAATTCTTAGAACTTCTTTTTTCCTTCTGACGCATCCACTCCAATGCAATTTTCTAAGTAACAACAATGATTTTATGAAATTAGTACACACTATATAATTGCAAATTAAGAATAACAAAAAGGTAATGATATAGTTTATGTACCTGATGCCTCATAAGAGGAACTGAAAGAACACCATAAGGTAGATCTCTCTTTCGGTCTTGGGTTGATTCAGATCCTGTAATTAATTAAGTGTATCAGGTTAAGTGGGTGTATTAAGAGCTAAGTAAATGTATTAATTAAAAGAAAATTGAGATTTAGGAAAGAAGAATATTCAAATATACTTGTAACGCAGCTTGATAGATTAGTTTCTCATCAGTAATGACAGTTCCATCTTGTTGCCTAATGAGCTCGTCTTGTACTTCTTCTTCATCATCACTGCCTGAACTAATGCCAATTGGATAATCCATCGTAACAAATTCCTTTTTGATGTCGAAAAATCAGAATCTTAGGTTTAGGTTTCTAAGAAAAAACGAATCAGCCCCTGCCACGCAAAACAACAACTAGCGTTAACACAATAAGCTCTAGCCTCTAGCTTTTATCAACAAGCACCATCTAAAAGTAACATTCTCGTAATATCAACACGAAATCAATACCAAAGTACTCTTCGAGTTTTGAAAACCCTTTTACTCCAATTACTGTATAATCAAAAAACGATCGAGCTGAGGTTAAAAAAGGAAACGAAAGAGGAAACAGAAATAATCAGAAGAAATTGGAAAATTTAGAGACGTAATTAGCGTA